TCTCCAGATTGCAGCTGTTCATTTGGGCAGTCAAACACCTGAACATGCTTTTAATCGCCTTTAGAAATGGTGGTCAATACGACTATTTTCTTTATGCTAACATTTCCAGTCCTTCGTTAGCTTTAGCAAATTGAATGAATATTTCTTGACAAGTTGACAATAGTTTGTAATAAAACTGTAAAGCTATTTAACCCCTTAAAGCCTGAATTTTTATAGCTGTTTACAAAAAAGGTTTTATGCGTGTTTTTGCCTTTAAGTAGATGATAAATAATGTTGAGATATTAATTTTACTTTTGCACAAAAAATCAATAGAAATTTTGATATGTTGCAAATTCGCAACAACAGGCATAAGGGTCAATTTGGGGTCAATTTGGTAACACAATAACACAGTAATAAAACAGTGAAAAAAAAGTTTTATTCACCCTTTTTTTTACTTATTTACTTGTCGAAAGTTCCTATGTCCGTAGTGAATATGCACTAACCAGCATTGGGGGAATGCAGACGCTATCTCGGCTGGCCCTTTAAATCTCATTCAGTCATTTAGGCCCTCTAAATTAACTTTTCCTTTCATTTTTTCCTCTTATCTTCTGTGCAGATCAAGAGTATGATGCGTGGGGGGAACGAAGCTACGACCCTGAGGGTCCATGAGAGGTTTGTCGCTGGCTCTCTGGCTGGAGCCACGGCTCAGACTGCCATCTATCCCCTGGAGGTAAAACGATGGGAACTTACACAGAAACGTTACCTCGGTCTCTCGATCTTGTTGCTTTGCACTAAACATTCTAAACAACAGGAAGATCGGCCATACCTCTCCCAACATGCTCCCCAGTTCCTTGTGCTGTTTGTGGTTATCTCCCAACTCAACTACTATAACGCCCTCCTGACTCTCCAAGCCTGGACAGTAAAACAAATTATCCAGAACGTCTGGTCTTCAATCAGCCCAAAAAGTCTCACGTCACCCCTCAGTTCATTGAGCTTCACTGGTTCACCTGGTTACCCCTGGTTACCACCGGTTACCCCCGGTAACCCCTGGTTACCCCTGGCTGCCTGCATAAAATTCAGGTCCCTGATGCCTACAAAGTGCTTAAGGGTCCGGCTCCCGTCTACTTGAACCCTCCTCCAAAAGTAATCAGCAGACTGTCGTCCAGCAGAGCTGCTCCACGTTTAGACGATCAGACTGTTTTCATGTGTTGTTCCAAGATGGTGGAACGACCTACCAAGCACTACAAGAACAGCAGCGTCCCTTTCTATCTTTAGGAAACTCTTAAAGACCCACCTCTCCACAGAGCATCTCTTATCCTGACTCTTCCCCAGACCTCTGGACCCTCTACTCCTCTTTCTGAGCTTCTCTTTGCTGCAACCACTGATTCTGACTGGGGATTTTCCTATAGATAACTCATTGTCATATTGATGATAACTGTAAAATTGTGTCTACTTTGTAAGTGGATTTGGATAAAACCGTCTTCTAAATGCAGAAACTTAAACATAAACATAAACTTACTTATCTTGGTGAGAAAACATGCCAGAGCTGAAAAAGATCAACAACATGTAGCAATAAGTTTCTACCCTATTGAATAATCTGCTTTTTTTTCTAATCTGTTTGATAGAGTTTAACATACTCACCCAAAACTGGCAACAGGTTAAGGATGTGTCGAGGCTTCATAACTATATCCAGACTTTATGGTGAGAAACACTTTCCAGGATGGAATAAAATGACTCTCCTCCCTGTCTGTGCCTCTTCTTTCCTCCAGGTGTTGAAGACCCGTCTGACTTTGAGAAAAACCGGCCAATTCTCGGGAATAGCCGACTGTGCCAAACAGATCCTGCGGCGGGAAGGCCTGGCGGCCTTTTATAAAGGCTACGTCCCCAACCTGCTGAGCATCGTCCCGTACGCCGGCATCGACCTGGCCGTCTACGAGGTCAGACAGGGGATTTTCCTCTAGAGAACTTATTCTCATATTGATGATAACTGTAAAATTGTGTCTACTTTGTAAGTCGCTTTGGATAAAACTGTCGTCCAGCAGAGCTGCTCCACGTTTAGACGATCAGACTATTTTCAGGTGTCGTTCTAAGATGGTGGAATAACCTACCAAGCACTACAAGAACACCTTTCTATCTTTAGGAAACTCTTAAAGACCCACCTCTTCAAAGAGCATCTCCTATTCTGACTCTTCCCCAGACCTCTGGACCCTCTACTCCTCTTTCTGAGCTTCCTTCTCTCACTCCACCTGCCACCACTGACTCTGACTGCGGATTTTCCTCAAGAGAACTGATTCTCATATTGATGATAACTGTAAAATTGTGTCTACATTGTAAGTCGCTTTGGATAAAAGCGTCTGCTAAATGCAGAAACTTAAACATAAACATGAACATAAATATCCAGACTTTCCCTGGCCGACTGTGCCAAACAGATCCTGCGGTGCGTTTCCTCCCTCTGTTCAGCCCCCCCGACTCACCCGTTTGTCCCACAGACCCTGAAGCTGGCGTGGCTGAACAGGAACCGAGGCCTGGCCGACCCGGGGGTGACGGTTCTGGTCGGATGTGGAGCGGTTTCCAGCACCTGTGGGCAGCTGGCCAGTTACCCACTGGCTCTGATCCGCACACGGATGCAAGCGCAAGGTCAGGAGGAGCTCACACACACGTGAATAGATAGGAAATTTAAGAGCCACCCCGAGCCCCTAGGGAAATATAGTTTTTTTACATAGTTTTTTTTATTACATGCATTTCACAAATACATTTTTTTTGGGCTCAAATCCAATTTTTAGTTGGCTCCAATCTGAAATCAATGTTTAATTTAAAATGTTTTGTGATCAGTTTTAGTCTTGTGCTTTAGAATCACAAGGAGCTGTGCTGGCGTGCATGAAGGTAAAATATATCAGTGTTATACAGATTGGAAAAACTATTGTTCAGGGTGAAGAACACCCTGAACGTCCTGAAGTGGGATGATGGATTGCAGCTTGGTGGACATAAACTCTAAGAAGAAGGATGCAGAGACTCTTCTTCATAGTCCAGCATTTCAATGTCTGTTAATAATAATAATAATAATAATAATAATAATAATAATAATAATAAACCTCTTAAGTCCCGTCTCCTTTTCGGTTGCCTTTCTGTCTGCTGTCTCTGTCTGCCTGCGTATGCTTCCAGCTGATTAAAGTAGTTATCCTTGCCTTGTTTATTCCTCTTATGAGTGATTTTTGATTTCGCAATTCATAGTCTGGCTGCCTCATCTTCGAATGAGTATTATTTTGGTGCTTTGTTCATGGTGTTTGCCTGCCTCGATTCGAGTGATCTTTATTTGTTACTTAGTCTGTCCTCTTGTGAGTGATCATTATTTTGTACTTTTGCCTTCCACTCCCTGTGAGTGCGCTTTGATTTATAATAAAGTTTTTGATTACTATCTATGCATCTGAGTCCTGCCTTGAGTACCATCCTGACACTATTTCCCCTCTTTGTCTTCCCTTCAGATTCAGTGAGGGGGGACCCTAAACTCTCCATGCTCTCGTTGCTTCGCAACATTGTGATCCAGGAGGGCGTCGCCGGGCTTTACAGGGGAATCTCCCCCAACCTGCTGAAGATCGTCCCCGCCGTCAGCGTGTCCTACGTGGTCTACGAGTACACCAGGATAATGATGGGAGTGGACATCGAGGGTAGGAGGGGAGGGAAAGGGAAGGGGTAGAGCCAAGGGAGAGGAGCTTTGTGGTGGCTTTCATCTGCAAGCACGAGCAGATCTGTGTCACTGCATGAGGAAGAGGGGATGACCCCGAAAACCAGGCGGAAAACGGCAGAGTAAGAGGGAAACAACACATAAATATGGTACCATTTATTACACAATCCGCCTCCCTTTGAGCTGACAGCTGGAGCCAAGTTTCCAAGGAGGTTTGATGCGTTTTAATGCATGTCAGCATTTGTGTGAGAGATGACTAACGAGCGTCTTGCTGCTGCCATGACTCGGAGACCACAGAGACTTGCATGAACCTGCCAGAAAACGAGTTCGGACTGGAAGCCACATTACATTCCTACAGCATTATTCTCTCCATCAGGTGGAATATAGAGAAGACGGGGAGCTGAGGGTGAGAGGAACCCGAAGGTGCTGCACAGTGGAGAAGTTACAAACTCAGGATTTATATAGACATGTCTTAAAGAAAATACTACTACGAATCTACTCTAATAACTACTGGCTGTTGCTGAAATGATCACTTGGAGCAAATGGAGGAGGGTGGAACCACACTGAGCTGCCTCCCCTCTGTGTGATACTCATGAATAAAGCACATGCAAAGACGTAAGTTTTAAGGTCGAGAAGCTGTCAAAGCCTGATCGAGAAGAGCAAAGTGTTCAAATAACATTTGATGTGCTCATGCGTGTCATCAGTGTTCCTGAAGTGGAGCCTGGCCGGTAGATATGCCATTTATAGCAGCAAATTGAAATATTTATGACGTTAATTAAACTTTTATGACAGAGAGATCAAAAGATGGTGTGTGAAACAGTAAATTAGTGGATTGGGATGAAATTTAAGTCAGTGATTGTTGTGGAGAGCCAAAGAAAAACAACAACTTAAACCAATAAATTAATGCAGAAATGCCCAATACTCAGAAACATGCGTTGTTTCCCCTTGAAAAATAGTATTTTTATAAATGTTGTAGAGCTCTAAGACCATCCCATGATGATGGAATGACGTCTACTTTTAACTTATAGTGAATATTTTCATCATGTGCAAAGTATTATTATTATTACATGCATGCTCCAGGCTTTTATTTTTAAAGAAGAGGATTTATATGTTTTGTTGTAAATTAAAATATACTGGTCAAATACAAACACTAATTAAACTATTTTTCTGTTTAAATTTATTCATTATTAACGTCCCTGGCTCTGTTTCAGAAAGATCAAAGAGCTGAAATGACTAAGAAAAGTGCATAAACTGGATTATCTATTTATTTAGGATTTTCTATGTGTATGTTTATCTGTAGTTTCATTTGCTACTGGTTATTACTGGTTACCACCCACATCTTTAACTGAAATAATCACGATAAAAAAAAGAATACAAAAATAAAAACAGCAGATTGAAACTCTCAGTTGGATGCACCTGAAAAAGCTACCAGGCAGAATCCTAATCAAAAGCCAGAACCAGGTCAGCTGGACCTAGTTGAGTGCAACATTAGAGGGGTTCATTAATCTGATCTACTGTGTGCATAGTAACTCAGAGGATCTGGTTTCATTTTGAGGTACTTTATGCCAAAAAACATTTTTATCGTGAGATATTCTTAATATTTTTTTGTATAAATGCTGATCGCTCTGTGTGCATGCTGCTGTCTTTGCCAGGGATCTTTTGGAGAACAGATGTTTAAATCTCAATGAGACTTTTTGTGGTTACAAAAAGATTTAATAAAATTGTTTCAAGCAATAAAATCATAGTCTTTTTTCCATGAGACACATCTACAAAGTCAATAAAGCAAAAATATACTTAAGATGAGGGTGACAGGAAAAACTGAGGTGTTCTGCTTCGGTAAAAAACTAGTTTTGTTTAAATATTAACTCCTTACTAATGACATTATCATGACAACAAGATCCAGGTAACAGACAGATTTGGGTCCAATCTGGGCAATTTTTGGCTCTTAGTTGTGTCCAAAATTTTGGACAGATATTCCTGAAATATTCCTTAAATGATCAATATATATATATTCAAATACTTTTCGAGTTCAGATATAAGGGCTTAGTAAACACTGTATATTATTTTCTTGGACATAAGACCACTGACAACCCTCTGATTTACGTTCAGGCTTTTTGTAGCCGGACTCCATCCAGGAGGAGGCGCCATTTTGTTTTGAAAAGGCGAACAATAACAATAAGGATGGTGGAGAAGGAGACCCGGCTGAAGAGGCCCTGATTGGTTCCTTTGAGCACGGGAAGTTTGCCGGCGTGCTGCCGGCCGTCGCTCACATTTATCTCCCCGCCGGTCCGCTCCTCTTAACCTTCCCGCTTCTGCGCAACTCGACCCGGACAAAGCTGTTAAGCCGCCCCCCCCCCCCCCCGTGTGTCTATTTGGCCCCTCAGAACAGCATGTCTGATTACGACGGGATGCAGTCAAATGGAGTCGGCGCTGGGGTGAAGACGGACGCTTTTGCTGATGCTGTACAAAGAGCCAGACAGGTAAAACCGGTATCCAAGCTGCCCGGTCACCGGAGGTGGTATCCCGGTCACCGGAGGCCGGCAACCCGGTCACCGGAGGCGGGATCCGGGGACCGCGTTAGCCGGCTACTAGCATCTTTTGACGTTAGCTTAACTTAACGAGCTAGCCGGCTAGCTAGCGGTTAGCTAGCGGGTAGCTAGCCGGCTAGCTAGCGGTTAGCTTTGCCATTCATCCGCGGCACACGCAGCTCACGGTGGCGGGTTTGTTGGATAAATCAGGGTATCGATCAACAGTATCGGTTTGGGAATCGATATTTAAACTAAGCCGGTTTGTGAGATGATTAAAATCGGGAGCCTTCAGTTAAGTTGTGTGTAAATAAGACAGGTTAGCCGGTTTAACCGGTAACAGTTAACACAGTTAGCTGAACGTGAAGCTCCATTAAACTGTACATGGCTGGGCACGGTTCAAGTAAATAAATCGTAAGTAAATAATTTAAATAAATAAAAAAGAATGTTTAAGTATTATTTAGCAACTTAACACTTTGAATTTATCAGTTGCTTAAATGTGTGTTTCAGCTATGATTTATTTAACTCTTACTATCGTTTATCATTGGTCTTTAATTATTAGGAAAAAACAATGGTTTGGATTTCTTAAATCCTAAAGATACTAAATTGGACTTTTTTTAAAATTATTTTTATCAGTATTTATAAGGTAGTTATCTTTTTCTGGGATGAAATGAGCGCTGTTTCCTAAAATTTTGCTTAGGAAACCTTGGAGGGGAAACCTTCCTATATTTAGCTAAAACTTTTAAAAGAATTTCGTTTAGAAATGGTATGATATAGTAGAAAAAAGAATAGTCGTCAAGCAGAATTGTTTTGGTGAAAGTTCTTTTTAAAAAATCATCAAGTACCTGTGCTTTTGTGATTAAAAATGTTATAAAGGAACTGGTACATCTAATCGAAATAATCCAGTGAAATAAACCTACTTTTAATATTTTGGGGAAATGGGTCCTTTGTGTCAGCAGAACTGAAAGGCACTCGCCCCTGGGAAACCGTCATATTCTTATCTTTGGGGATACTGATGCATGTCTTGTTAACCTAGTCTCCTGTTTCTCGCGGTCAAAGAACGTGGACACATTCCCTCCTAAAAAGTTCGGTTGGGTTTAACGATGTGTTCGCTGTCTCCTAGATTGCTGCTAAAATCGGAGGAGAAGTTCCCCCAGTGACAAACAACGGCGCTGAGAGTTACTCGTTCACCGCACAGAAACGGTCCCTGGAGGAAGCAGGTCAGAGGTCGGGGTGAAGGGCTCTCTGCCCGAGCTTTCATCCCCGTTTGTTTTTTTTAACGCTCGCTTTTGTATCCAGATGAGCCGGATGCCAAGAAGGTAGCATCTCTGAGTGAAATGGACTCATCAATGTGTACGTTGAACGCAGACTTTGGTCATAAAACGCGCTCTGTGCCAGGTCTCCCGTCACTCACATTTCTTATTTATTTTTGTTTTAACAGCTATTGAAGCCCAGCTAGCTGCTCTGTCCCAGCAAAGGTACGTCGTCCTTATGATAAGTGATACCACCTGAACACTTATTCATGCAGTTGTGACATGGGGTCATTTTGAGATCCTCATTTGTTTTCTCGGTGCGTCTGCAGCGTCAGGCCCTCCACCATGACGGAGGAGTACCGGGTGCCGGACGCCATGGTCGGTCTCAGTGAGTAAAACCGGCCGCGTCGACCCCTGGATCCGGAGTTTTTCAGGCTAAATCCAACCGCTCTTTGCTTTTTGTTCCCAAAGTCATCGGCAGAGGCGGCGAACAGATCAACAAAATCCAACACGACTCCGGCTGTAAAGTCCAGATTGCTCACGGTGAGCCTCATTTGCCTCGTTTCCGCCCCAAACTTCATTCGTTTTTTCCAGATTGAGCCTAACGGACTCTCTGGACGTCCTCTGCTCACGTTCACAGACAGCGCCGGCCTCCCAGAAAGAAGCGTGTCCCTCACAGGGTCGCCGGATGCCATCCAGTAAGTCTAACATCCATTCGTAGCATAATGTGATCTCACTTCCTAAAGCGACTGGAAAAAAATAAAGTTTATGGTGTGTTCTCAGCTGTCTTTGACAGAACTTACGATCCCACTTTTAGTGCTTCGAGAAATAGTAGTTTTAGCTTTTTACCACTTAATAACTTAATACTTTTTGCCCTTTAAGCTGCTGGTAACCTTAATTTCCTGAGGGAGTCTTTCCAAGGGATCAATAAAGTACTGTCTAAGTCTAAGTCTATGTCTTTATATAAAGATATTTATTTCCTTTTTACTCCCCACCCCAGAGGGTTGCTCTGTTGGGATGAGGTTGGCTTCTAAAGGGGCCCACAGGTTGAGAGGCTCAGCACAACATCACATTTGATTCAATAAACTTGGGCTCATCTGCATGCTGATGTATGATTGCTTTCTGTTGATTTGCTGTTTGGATCTATGAGCACGTCCTGATGGCTTGGTTGACACTTTACAGGCTTTGACTTTTTCCACTAGATGGAAACTACCAACACTCAAACGTTTGGCTTTTTACTGTCTATTAATCTGTGTTCAGTCTCTGGTTAATTGGCTAGAATAATGGGCGGTGTTGGGCTTCACATGTAGTTCAAGGTGCTAAAAATATGACGATTTGACACAGATTGTTGTACAGATTTTCAATTAATTTTAGTCATATTATTAAATACATGCATTCATGTTTAAACTCCATTCTTTTCTTCAGTCTGTCTGGATGTCTGTGTAGAACAAATAAGTGTATTATGTAGTTTATCAGGTGTTAACGTAGTCTTGTTGTTTTCTGACCTATTGTTTGACCGGTTGGTGGATTTCAGAGAACGACGGCGGGGATTTAAGGCTTAGATGATCTTTCACAATTTTTCTTTTTTCACCTTTTGTCTATTTTTTTTATTTTTTACAGGAGAGCCAAGGATCTCATCGATGACATTGTGTCCAGGGGTCACGAGACGACCAACGGCCAGTCTGGTTCTATGCAAGAGATGATCATCCCTGCAGGCAAGGCCGGCCTCATCATCGGCAAAGGAGGAGAGACCATCAAACAGCTGCAGGTGAGGCTCCTTCATGAGCTGCCATGAGGCTCTCTCCATCCCAGCTTTATCTCCTTTGTTACCCTCAGAGTCACATTTAGGTCTGCTGTGTGTTTAAAGGGGACATATTATGCAAAACCAAGTTTTTAATCATGTGATTATGTACATTTGGGACTGTGGAGGGCCTATCAGCAGGCAAAGTGTGAAAAAAAATGACTCAGTCCTGTTTTTGTGGGCCGCCTCAGTCTGAATCCAGGAGATAAATCAGGAGGTTTCAGGAGTGGGTAGTTTCTGACGTCATTAGCTCTAGCTCATTATAATATTCCAGCCTTTCACCTGCATGTTGCCCCCCCCCTCAGCTTACTCCCCTATCTGTGGCAGACGTCGTGGTAGCGTGAGCGTTAGCGTGGTAGTGTTAGCATGGTAGCGTTAGCATGGTAGTGTTAGCATGGTAGCGTTAGCGTGCCGACGTGGGCACACCTCCCGGAAGAAGTGGGTGTATTGCCTGTGTCTCATTTGCATTTAAAGAGACAGGCACTCCAAAGCGAGCGCTCTGAACGGGGCTGTTTTGGGTTAGGGTTAGGGTTAGGGTTAGGGTTAGGGTGAGGGTTAGGCTTAGGCAGGGGGACTGAACTGCTATTGGGCTTCATCCTTATGGGATTTTGACCAAAGCTTGTCACAGACATTACATTAGGACACCAGGGAACTAGTCTAACTCGTTGAAATAGGGTATGATATGTCTCCTTTAAAAAAAAAACACATCTCATGTTCTCTCTCCTGCATATTCTTAGGAGCGAGCTGGAGTTAAAATGATTCTTATTCAGGACGGATCCCAGCCTCCCAACATAGACAAGCCCCTGCGGATCATCGGGGACCCCTACAAAGTGCAGGTACTGTTGGGGAGCAGAGATGCTTGGAATATGTCGGGACATTTATTTATTTTGTCCTTCTTCGTCTTGGCTGTCTCCCTGTTTTTGTAGCAAGCTAAGGACATGGTAAATGAGATCTTACGAGAGAGGGATCATGCTGGCTTTGGAGAGAGAAACGATTTTGGGTCCAGGATGGGAGGTGGTGGTGGTGGTGGTATTGAAGTAAGTCATGTTTTTTTTTCTTTTTTTTTCCTAAGCATGAAAAGCCCAATCTTAGCTGGTCAAGACGGTTATATGTGAGAGTTACCAGCCTCTGTAGTGATCATTTCCCTTACACTTCTTCAGATCCCAGTCCCCCGACAGTCTGTGGGGGTTGTGATTGGTCGAAATGGGGAGATGATAAAGAAGATCCAGAGTGATGCTGGCGTGAAGATACAGTTTAAACCTGGTAAACTTTACATACTAAAAGTTAGCTTTTCATCTGTAAGTCTTTTGTTGGTTGGTTTAGATTCTGACAATACAGAGATGTCTTTGACTTACTGTGATCTTTTAGTTCTTCAGATTATTCTTCTCTTATTCTCTTATGTTTAGTTGATTATTTTTAGACTTTTCAACTGTTTCAAAGTGAAGTCTGAAGGCTCAAGCCTGATATTTACGGACAAGCTTTAGCAGATCGTCCCCCAGCCAATCTCGTTGAAAAACATAAAAGACGTCTATAGACGTCTTTGGCAGCCAATGAGTTGAATTAAACAAACAGTTTTTATAGGTTTATTCTGTTTGAAGGAAAGTGTCCCCCCCCCTCCGTTTTCCATTGCAGATTCTGTATAATCCCTCCATCAGAACATCTCAGAATCAGAAATACTTTAATAATCCCAGAGGGAAGTGATTTAAATTGCCTTTGTGATGCGTTGCAGATGATGGGACGGGTCCGGAGAAGATCGCCCACATCATGGGTCCCCCGGACCAATGTCAGCACGCGGCCTCCATCATCACCGACCTGCTGCAGAGCATCCGGGCCCGAGAGGAGGGCGGCCAAGGGGTAAAGCCAGAAGTTTCCAGATCGGTTTCCCTCTCAAATCTGGGTCTGCTCACAAAACACGAACGGTGTGGCGTTTCTTTACAGGGCCCTCCGGGTCCCGGAGGGATGCCGCCCGGAGGCCGGGGGTGGGGCAGAGCTCAGGGCAACTGGGGTCCCCCGGGAGGAGAGGTGACCTTCTCCATCCCCGCCCACAAGTGCGGGCTGGTCATCGGGCGGGGAGGAGAGAACGTGAAGGCCATCAACCAGCAAACCGGGGCGTTCGTGGAGATATCCCGCCAGCCGCCCCCCAACGGGGACCCCAACTTTAAGCTGTTCACCATCAGAGGGTCCCCCGATCAGATCGACCACGCAAAGCAGCTCATAGAGGAGAAGATCGAGGTATTTTTAACTCGTTGACTGCCAGCCATTTTCAGAACAGAGAGTCCCATACTGCCAGAGTTTTTTGAGCATTTTGACTGATTTTTCAAGAGCCACAGAATAGTTTGTGCTATGACTATGTAAACACCGAACACACCAAAAGAAAGAGTAGACTCTCTTCTTTCATCAGGAAAAAAAAAATGTTTCTACCTTAATCCGTTCTTCCTCGACTTGTGTCTCACCGGCGACATGTTCTCTCATATCGAACCGTTACCTTTTTCTTATTTGCCTACAGTCTATGCTCATCTCCCATCAAAAGTGGCACTGCCACCTAGAGGGTCAATTTGTTACTACATACTCTGTCTAGAAGCCTGATATTTAAGGACAAGCTTTAGCAGATCGTCCCCCAAGCCACTCTCGTTGAAAAACATAAAAGACGTCTATAGACGTCTATGGCAGCCAATGAGTTAAGTGGCCAACAAACAGATTATATAAACAGTTGTTAGAAGAAAAAAAAAGAAAATACATTTTCCCACCTATTGTTGATGGGTCCCTTTTCCCCCCCAGGGTCCATTGTGTCCAGTGGATGGTCCTGGAGGCCCCGGTGGCCCCATGGGGCCCTATAATCCTGCTCCTTATAACGCAGGACCCCCCGGTGGAGCTCCCCAGTAAGCCACATGGAGCCCCTTAAAGATGGCCGTACACGGACTCAACGACCAGTCTATTCATGTCCTTCCTCTGTTTGCAGTGGAGCGGCTCCTGGGGGTCCTCAGTACTGTCCTCAGGGCTGGGGGGGCAACTACCAGCAGTGGCAGGGCCCGAACCAGCACGACCCCAGTAAGCCACTCACATCATAACACCCTCTTTGTTTTGTGTATTGACGCGTCTTTGATTTCCCTGATTTGTGTGTGGCTTTTTTAGTGTGTGGACTTGTCTTTGAGTTCCTCCCCTGTGTTTACTCCTGCAGATAAGGCACCGGCAGACCCAAACGCGGCGTGGGCAGCCTACTACGCGCAGTACTACGGCCAGCAGCCAGGGGGCGCCATGGCAACCCAGCCCTCCGGGGCCCCCGCTCCAGCACCACCGGGAGACCAGCCCCAGGTTTCCCAGACTGCTGGCGGTCAGCCGGACTACACAAAGGCCTGGGAGGAATACTATAAGAAGATGGGCATGAGTACGTGAGAGCTTTTTTTTTTTTTTTTAACTCAATATATTTTTTATTGAATTTTACATAAACAAAAAACAGAGCACAGTTATAAGATGTTACAAGGTGGGCTTGTAAAAGCCAGTAAGACAAGTTGTTCATACAAAAGTTTGTTGTGTCATACAAGAGAGATATAGACTTCACAAATAAAAAAAGTGGTATGACAACTACAGTAAAACAAGTCAAGTAGTGAAGCACAAAGATATAATACAATAAGACAAAATAACCCCTTCCCCATCACCCCACCCGTCACTGCCAAAACTATATCATCACTCCACAACACTCAGGACCTGCCTAGGTAGAATCAGTGCAGTGCATGTCTGAACTATTAGAGAGCTGGAAATGTTTTCAAGAAAGGGCCCCACATATTTTCAAATGTAACAAGAGACTGTTTAAGTGAGTACCTGATCTTTTCGAGTTTTAGACAAGACATGATATCTTGCAGCCACTCTGAATGGGATGGGGGGGGGGTACGTGAGAGCTTTGAATCGAGTCCTTTTACTAATACTGGGAACTTTTTTACTTATCTATATGGTCAAGTGCAATAATCCAAGATAATTACTGTGTAGTCTTTACTGTGCAGATACTTTATATATAAAGGAAATGTATACATCTGTACCATATACACTCTTTTTATATTGTCTCTATATTGTCTTTTTTACTCTTTATAAGTCACTGGAACCAGAATTTCCCTGTAAGAGTAATCCCGAGGGATGAGTAAAGTTGAGTCTAAGGTTTAAGTCTCGAAGTCTTGCCTGTTGACACTTTGACATCCCAGAATTCAAAAGTGGCAAGATCAGTCTTCAAAAAATTAAATGATTAACAGACCCTGTGGATAGCAGGTGGATTTTTCTGTGCAGACCTCAGACTTCCATTAAAACTCAAAGTTCAACTCCAGAATTACTCAGGAGCTGAAGACATAATGAGAGAACCGGTCCTTTATTTGTGGCGTGGCTTGGAAATATTGACCTCATCTTAAAGATGGCTGGTCCTTCAGTGCACACAGACTTTACATCCATCTTCACACCATACTGATTAAACGGCATAATTCCAGTGGAATAAATGCTAAAAGTTTCTTAATTAAGGAATTAATCCAAAAAATAAATACTAAAATAAATAAATAAAACATTTTTAAAAAGTTGCTTGATTAAAAAAACATTTTATTTTAATTTTGGATGCAACTGTCCGTTTCCTTTTTTTTAATTTTTAATTTTTTTTTTACTAAATATCGAGATATTCCAGTTATTGTTTGTTTCTGTTTCTTTCAGCTCAGCCATCTGGAGGGGCGGCCCCGGCTCCGGGCCCAGCAGCGAACAGCTCGACGGGTGCCGGAGGGGGGGGGGCGGCGGGGGGGCAGCAGGACTACAGCGCGGCCTGGGCCGAGTACTACAGGCAGCAGGCCGCCTACTACGGGCAGGCGGGGCAGGCCCCCGGACCGGGGGGGGCCCCCCCCCCCAGGACAGCAGGTGCCTCAAACATGAACAGACCCAGTCACATAACCGTGTACCCGTCGGGTCCTGCAGGGTTTAGAAACTGCTCTGTTTCTACAGCCAGTTCATTTATTCATTAGCAGCGTAATCTGTTGAATAAACCCATTTAATCTGAATCTGGACTGTTGAAGCAGAGTCGGTTCTAAAAGCTGCAGGACAGCAGCCAAAAGCACAGCCAGGGTTGCTTTTTAAGGGATGTAAAAGCTATTTTGTAACGTCCTAGTGGTGACAAAATGGAGGGATAATGTTTTTTCTTATGTAGCATGATGCATAATACAGTGAAAAAGAATGACAAATATAGAGTTGACAGTCTTGAATGGACTACTGTACCCAAAATCCAACAAATAGTCCAAAGGTTACGAAACAGGACAGACCAAGGAGAGCAAAAATAATCCCAAATAAAGATTTATTAACGCATTTAGATACAAAGCCTGTTCAGTGTGCTCAAGTCTGATGTCAATTTTTGTAACTTTTGGAGAATGAATACTTTTCTCACATTACAGAAAATGTTTTACCTCTAAACCACGTCTGATGTTGTTGCTGTGACTTCTCGTTTCAGCCCCAGTAAAGAAACACCATTGTCTGTTGGACAGATGTAATGGATCTCTGGATTTTTTTCCTTTTGGATTCACAAGACCGTGGCTCACTCATTCACCGAGACATTTTCTATTCCGACCGTTTGTTTTTTAATGTCACAACTGAAGAAAGAAAAGGGAACGCCTTGATGCATTGAGCAAAGCACTAAATACCTTCGCTGGTTACTACTCCGTTTGCCCTTTTACCTCACCCAACCACACCTTGTAATTTATCTCATTGCTTTTAGGTTGTTCCTTTTTTTTGTGTTTGTTTTTGGGAGTAAAAAAAATGTGAATTGATCATTTTGCTTGCGAGCTGGCACAACGGCATCTCTAAACTGAATCACATTCAGTCTTCCCCTTCAGTTTTTTGGGGGGAGAAACTGGTCTAGCAGTATTTTGAATATATTCAGAATTTACATTTGTATGAGATGATTGCAAAGGTTTTTTTTTTTCTCTTTTCTTTTGGTACTTTATTAACTTCATTGTCTAATTTGCGGGTATGTTTCTCCCTGTTGTGAGTTTTTAATTTTATTTGTAATATTTTTTTTCCTAAGGGGGGGGCCTTGGTGTGTATGTCAATGAAAGGGGAATGTGTGTAAATTGGCTGTAATTGGGCACTAACTGTCCAACTTAATGTAGGTTGGTAGTGTGTTCATGTATGTATTTGTGTGCTTGACGGCCCTCTATGATATGTGTATCTTTTTTTTTTATTAGTTTCTGTTAATGTAATTCTTTTTTTTAAAGTTATTTTTTACAATTTGTTTTTAAAAACTTCAATAAAAACATTCATAATACCAGTGTGTTGTGTCTTCAGCAGCTGCATTGTTTGAGAGATGATCTTGGTGTGAAGTTATGCGAAATCAAGTGGTCAATATGCCTCTGAATTACAGCTTTTCTCTGGGTACTGTTGTCTTCCTGGTTTTGATGGACGTCTCCATTAGCCAATGAGAGCAGCCGGACGAGGCCTGTGAACCAATCACGACCGACCTAACTGCAACAGGGAGCAACGGTTCACAGGGAGATGGCGCCCAGCTCGAAATCTGAAAAGGACGATGGCAAACACAAAAACCACAGAAAGCACAAAGACCATGTCGTGAAGCTTCTTATGCGTGGAAGGGTGGGTATAAATCCACATAAAACATGTATAATTGATAAGGAATAGGCTATCCAGAAAGTGACACTATGTGGAGGCCTCCTGGGTTTCTGGAGCTTGTAAGGTTAGCTAGATGCTAGCTAGCTACACAGCTAACAAAGTAAACGATAACGAGTGGGAGGTGGCTAATTAGCTAATGCTACAAACCAGAAAAACTAATGTTATCCGGCATTTTGACGATGCATCTCAGTAACCCACGATAGCTTGACTAGTCAATAGGATCAGATTTTTAAAGAATCTGTGATACTAATGCGCTAATCCCTCCTATAAATTCCTGTTAAGTCAAGCTTTGAAATAGCATCTGATAGTAGTGCGCTTTTTTTAGAACACATCTCTCACACCCATCTATAGTATTCCCATTTATTATTGTCAGTTTCATATTCAGTTTATCCTGTTGTAGGTGTCGCTGCTAACAGATAGTTGAAAGCAGCTAATCTGGACACTGATTGGGGATTAATTTAGCATCCTCTCAGAGAGAGTAACACTCAGTTGCTGCTGCTAACACAAATCTGTTTTTAAGTTTGCGCTGCGTTTCATGCCATTGAGCCACAACTGAGTCCCTTCTCCCGTCTGTTCTGCAGCTGTCAGGACAGTTTTCCCAGCGCCTGTTCCGGAAGCTCCCTCCCCGGGTGTGTGTCCCTTTAAAGAACATCGTCAGCGAGGAGTTCCTGAGAGCAGGGTCTGTGTACCTTCATACTTATGAGTTTGTCCCCATCTGCAAGGGGCTGCATTAGACTGAGAAAAGCCATTTTTCTTCTGGGATTTCTGCTTCTCAGCCTCTCTCATTTTGAAGATACGGATGGTTACTATCGGTGTATCAGAATCAGAATCAGAAATACTTTAATAATCCCAGAGGGAAATTATTTATGTGTATGTGAGTGTGACTCTTTAAATCTCTTTTTAACCTGGATAGCTTGAGTTTTATGCTTCTGTACATGACCTGGGCCTCTTGTTTTGTCTGAGACGAGCTCTAGCTGTTGGCTCGTAGACTTATTTTACTGGAAAAGTGGAAACAAAGCATCCCCTTGTCCCATGACCATTGGGCGAGAGATGTTCTGTACAACCCAAACCTTGAAAAACTCAGATTTAAATGCAAATTCATGGAGACTTGGAGACCTCTCCTATCTCCACCAGGCACCATCACTGAGGCAAATCAGGCAGTTTGTTGGCCAAGCTTTCTTTCTTTATTTGTTTGTTTTTGTGACCATCTTTTGTTTCAGGTTTCTGGATCTCTGTTAAATGCTTGCACCCTGATTGGGGTGTTTTTTTGGAGAGTTAGGGTTGGGAGGATGGGTTTAAGGAAATAAAAAACAGCCTATATTTGTCCTTATCCTTCCTCTGTGATACTTCTGCCTTTTCATTGTTCTAATGATTTAATATCATGTGTCAAGCAGTTGGAAATTGACTAAAGAAAGTTGAACTAAATGTGCATATTTGTTTAAGCATTTATTCCTCTTTGGTTCCAGGCATATCTTCCTGGGCTTCACAAAGTGTGGCCGCTACGTCCTGTCTTACACCAGTGACTGTGGGGAGGATGATGATTTCTCTTTTTATACTTATCACCTCTATTGGTGGGAGTTCAACCTGCACAGCAGACTCAAACAGGTAAGTCAGAGAAAAGGTGATTTTTAAGTTAAAAAGAATGTATTGAGATTGGAGAAGGTGTTTATAGATTGTTGACCCTTTATCTTCTGCTGTGGTCTCTTCTTTAGGTCCATCATGTGCGACTGTTTGCGGGAGAGGAAATCTACAGTGACCTGTACCTCACTGTGTGCGAGTGGCCGAATGACCACTCTAAAATTGTCATTTTTGGCTTCAAGTAAGAAATAATAGATGTGTTTAGGTCCACTTTCACCCTTAAATCATTGACTGCCAGAGTTTTTTTTAGCATTTTGACTGATTTTTCAAGAGCCACAGAATAGTTTGTGCTATGACTATGTAAACACCGAACACACCAAAAGAAAGAGTAGACTCTCTTCTTTCATCAGGAAAAAAAATTAGTTTCTACCTTATTCCGTTCTTCCTCGACTTCTGTCTCACCGGCGACATGTTCTCTCATATCGAACCGTTACCTTTTTCTTATCTGTCTACAGTCTATGCTCATCTCCCATCAAAAGAGGGTCAATTTGTTACTACATACTCTGTCTAGAAGCCGATATTTACGGACAAGCTTTAGCACATCGTCCCCCAGCCTCTCTCGTTGAAAAACATAAAAGACGTCTATAGACGTCTTTGGCAGCCAATGAGTTAAGACTGTCACTTAAACACGTGCTAAATTTTAAACTCATTATATTTTCTCTCCCAGCACACGCAGTTCCAGCTCTGTGCTGATGAACCTGATGATGAGTGACGAGAACAACAGAGACATTTACATAACCATAGCCTCCATGCCTCCTCCAAAGCCTTGCTCCCACTGCTGCCCCGTGCCCTCCGCCTCCACCATTCGCACAGGTAGGGTTGTCAAAAGTATCGATACTTAAAAAAGTATGACCTGCCGTCGCTGCGCCCCTTCTCTCAGATTTATTTATGTATTTATTTACGTTGTTTATGATCATTAACAAGACGTTAGCCTTGAACTGCTAGCTGCGGCTAATGGCTAATAACAACACACCAACAATAATCAAGTACATATCCAACTCCGCCCACATCCAATCGGCCATTTTGATTACGTCACCAATAGGAAGATCCCAGGCAAGAAAATCCTAATTGCCTCATGGCAATATTGACAATAATTTAAAAATAGTGAAATTAATCTTTCAAACACTTAATTAAACTCTATCCATATTATTATGTTAAAATAGTGGATGTTAAATAGTTTTGTACAATAAGTCCAAACAAGTTTAACCAAAATGTATTTATTTATTTCTCACAATTATGAAGGGAGGAGGGTCAGGGTTAGGGTTAGGATTAGGGTTAGGGTTAGGATTGGGGTCATTAATGTGGGCCACCAGTCACGATAACATCAGTAACAGGTCAGTTTGAAATGAAAGACACTAACCTGTCAAAATTCAGTTCAATTTTGGGGTCTTTGTTTTTATCCTTGTTTTATCGAAAATGGTATCGAGTATCGAGTATTTTCCTGAGTATCGGTATCGAGTTGAAAATGTCAGTATCGTGACAACCCTATGCACAGGTAACCCGGTAACCAGGTAACCAGGTAACCCGGTAACCAGGTAACCCGGGGACGCTCTGGGGCCCCTGCCCGCTCACCCAAAACCATCTCTCTGTGTCCACAGGAAGCGGTGAGTGTCTGGAACACGGATATGTGCTGAACAGCAGGTACCAGGTGGTGTACCCGTTCCCCACGTTTCAGCCGGCCTTCCAGCTGAAGAAGGACCAGGTCATCCTGCTGAACACCAGCTACTCCCTGGTGGCCTGCGGCATCTCGCTCTGCCCCGGTGAGCAGCCCTAAGACACAGGGAGATTGTATTAATGTACGAAAGGATGTAAAGATGCCTGTTACATTCACATATATGGTTGGTTTTATGTACACTACGGTAGAACCTCTACATACGAATTGAACTCGTTCCAGGACCGACTTCGTTTGTTAAAATATTCGTATGTTGGTTCAAATATTCCCATCAGAATACACTGTAATTCCTATAATTCATTCCAAAAATCTACGATAACTCCTTGATAAATACTGCAGATCATTACACATAGCAATAAAATAAAGGCATTATATGGGAGAGATGTAAAAAGAAATAAATTATAAAGAAATAATCAATAAAAAGTTTTTTTTATGGGCCCTTTAGCTCAGAGACTGAAGAACGAAGGTAGAGGTGGAAACTGAGATACAGGATGACCCCTAACTTACTCTAACTTTGACTACATGAACTTTAAACTAACTTAGCTCATTTATTTTGATATTTTATATATATTTTTCTATGACTTTGACACTGGGATGGGGCGACTTCTTTGTTGGAAATTGACTTTGGGTGAAGATTGTACTTTGTACTAGTTTATTATTTCTTTCCTATATTTTTATTTCTACATTTTATTTCCTTCCTTGCTTGTCACAGAAGTGTTGTGTTGTGCACCAAACACCAAGGCAAATTCCTTGTAAGTCAAAAACCTACTTGGCAATAAACCTTATTCCCTTATTCTGATTCTGATTCAAGTGGAATATTTGATCAAATTTCACTTCATATGTCGGAAAATTCGTATGTTTAGGCCTCGTAAGCAGAGGTTCTGCTGTACATCAGTTTGGTTCATTTCTCACAATAATTCATTTTACGATGTCCTTCTCTTTGTGTCTATCTCTCAGGGAAGCAGGGCCAGTCGTCACAGATCCTCTACACAAAGCGAGCGGCCCTTTCCGCTCAGGCCTCCACCTCCTCGCCCTCCTCCACCTCCTCCTCTTTACCCCACGGCTCCCCGGATAATCGGCCGCAGCCCGTTTTCCGGGCCTCTCCCCTTCCCTCGTCCCCGAGCCATTCCCAGGCGGCCATGCGAGCTCGGGAGTTTGCTGCCGACCTCTTTAGGCGAGCGCAAGGAGGAGGAGGAGGAGGAGGAGGAGGAGAGAGAACAGCCGATGGAGGAGAAAGAACAGCCGAAGGTGGAGAAAGAGAGGTTGTGAATCCTCCGGAGGATAAAGGGACGACAGCAGACGCTTTCAGGGATATGGAGGAGGGACAGACCGGTTCATCTCCAGCCTCCACGTCACACCAAAGCCTCGTCCCTCCAGAGGGATCTGAACCGGCCATGTCCCCGGACTCCTCCTCCTCCCCCTCCTCCCCTCCGTCAGCCTCCTCCTCCCTGTCCTCCAGCGAGGACCCCAGTCCCAGCGAGCCGGGATACGTCAACTACTCCTGCCTGCACTACCGCCTGCAGCAGCCGGGGGCAGCAGAGCAGAGCTCAGCAGGTAAACCTACACTTAGACTTGGACCTGGACTAAGTCTTGGCCGAGGCAGATAGCCGCCCACCATGAGCCATGGTTCTGCTCCAGGTTTCTGCCTGTTAAAGGAAGTTTTTCCTTGCCTGTGTCGCCTAGTGCTTGCTCATGGTGGGGATTGTTGGGTTTCTGTAATTAACTTCAGAGTAGGGTCTGACCTGCTCTGTTTGGAAAGCGCTGTGAGACAACTGTTGTTGTGATGTGGCGCTATATAAATAAAATTGAATTGAACTTAGACTTCCTTTATAGTCATTGCACAAAAAACACACGGTGAATCTTGACAACGAAATGTTGTTACTTGGCTACCAGTGTAACAGAGCTAAGACCTTATTCCTACACAATAAATATGTTTTCTATAACTAAGAGCTAAGAGCTAGCTATATGCAGGGTAAAGAAGTATATATATACATATATATTGCACTGTGTTATTGCAAAAAGAAACATTAAGTTGACAAAACTAAACTAAGGTGCGTGTATTGTCCATGTCCATGGGGGGTGGTTTTAGTGTGTGTGTTAGGGTTGTCAAAAGTATCTATACTAAAAAAAGTATCGATACTAACATGTTGTATCCGGATACGATACTCATTTTCAAAAGTATCAATACCACATTAAACTCTATACATAATATTATGTTAAAATAGTGGATGTTAAATAGGTTTGTACAATAAGTCCAAACAAGTTTAAGCCAAAAATATTTATTTCTCACAATTATGAAGGGTGGAGGGTTAGGGTTAGGGTTAGGGTCAGGGTCAGGTTGAGAAGCCAAAGTTTTCCATTGGTTCCTGTCTGACGCTTTTTTTGGGGGCTTTTCCACCTTCGTTTGTTCCTCTAGGCTACGAGGATGATAAAGTCCAGCTTCCGTTCACAGTCACAGACCTGAAAGGCCAAAACCTGCAGCTGGTCACGGAGCCGCACGACGGACAGGTGGGTTTCTGCCCTCTGGACTAGTTCTTTCCCGATCTGATATCTGGATCAGATCCGCCGATATTTGCAAAAAATTGTGTATCGGCCGGCAGGAGAAAATGCAGATCCAGATTCCAGATCCAGTTTTTCTTTAAAGTCTGATCCCATACGAGCATTAGCATTAGCATCTCCTAACCCACAGGTGTGTGTCCTAACCATTAAGTTGTTATCAGAGTAAATCCCTGTTCAACATGAGTCTGACAACTAAGTAAGTAGATAAATAACTTTAAACTTTAACGCATGCCGGGATCGGTATCAGATCAGAAGTGAAAAAAGATGGATTGGGACATTCCTAATCCCCCCCACAACTCCTTCTGTAGTCCCTCTACCTCTATCTCTATCTCACCACTGACTCTGATCAGTGTTTCTCCTCTGTATAGCTTATCGTCATAGTGATGATAAATGTAATATTGTGTCTACTCTGTAAGTCGCTTTGGATAAAAGCGTCTGCCAAATGCATAAACAGAAACATAATCCTGGACCCAAAGTGGGTCATTTCAGACACAGCTCAGTTTCTGAGGGTAGATATCCTAAATGTGAAATGCTGTAAACCTTTGTGACAGTACAAGGATGAATGTGTATATATATTTTTTCATCTGTCTGATATGAGCAGATTTTTTTTAGACTGTAAACATCCTGTGTGTGTTTTGTTTCTCTCAGAGTGTGTGTGTGGAACAGCTGACTCTGGACTTTGAGTATCTGATAAATGAGGTGATCAGGAGTGATGCTGCCTGGGCTCCACAGTTCTGCTCCTTCAGTGATTATGATGTCGTGATTCTGGAGGTAGATGCTCACACACACACACACACACACACACACACACACACACACACACACAATCACACACACTCACAGTCACACACACACACACACACACACACACATACACACACACACACACACACACACACACACACACACACACACACACACAATCACACACATACACACACACACACACACACACACAAGCGTCTCATTGAACGTTTAGCTTTAAGGCTTTTTCCTGTTGGCTGAAACTCACTTCTACCCAGAATAGGATGTGATTCAGTCGGCTTTGTGTTGTCTTTATCTGTGTTTTGTTTTATAACATTAAACATTTATAACATTTAAAGCAGAAGAGTCACCACACTGAATATTTACTCGGCTTTCTTATAAAAGCATTGACAGATAACCAACACACATCTATAACACATTATTATTTATTTTAGACAGAAGAAATGGGTAGATTTTATTTATTTTCATCTATTGAATGCGTTTGTTGGGAATCAATCGGGTTTTTGTTTTTCACTAGGGTTGTCACGATACTAAAATATTCAACTCCATACCGATACTCAGGAAAATATTCAATACTCGATAACAATTATTAATACCACAAGGATAAAAACAAAGACCCCCAAATTTAACAGAATTTGGACAGTTTAGTTTCTTTGGTTTCAAACTGACCTGTTAATAGCAATTAGCCTCAGCTAGCAATTCAAGGCTAACTTGAATTGCTAATTATCATAAACAACATTAATAAATAAGTAAATAAATCAGAGAGAATGGGCGCGGGGGGGGGGTATCAATACTTTTGAAAATGAGTATCGTATCCGGATACTTTTGACATCCCTACTTTTCCAACTTTGAGCTCGTGGAACAGAACATGTTTCTGTTTATGCATTTGACAGACGCTTTTATCCAAAGCGACTTACAGAGTAGACACAACATTACATTTCTCATCACTATGACAACATTCCCGGGTCTGTGGGTGAATTTCCTCTCCCTCCTGCAGGTGTGTCCGGACACCAACACGGTGATGATCAACATCGGCCTGCTGCTGCTGGCCTTCTCCAACTCGGACGAGGAGCACTGCAGGTGTGTGTAGCCCAGCCCCCTTTAGGCCCCGCCCCCTCACCCAGTCTCCTATTTATTTATTTGTTTGTTTATTTGACAGGGACAGTACAGTTAAACATTGCAACCAAACAGATGGCCGATGTCCAACTACATAAGGCTTGTAGCCGTGGGCTAATTTTAGCCTTCATCCCTGGTTAGGCTTTTAAAAGGTGTTTTAAAGCATTAAGGGGGAGGGACAACACACAGATGCATAAGAAACAAGAGAAGTTAAAACCAAAAAAAGAAATGTAAAGTACAAGCCAGTTCCGTGCTCACACTCTTGATTGTCTTTGAGCCATTTTTTCAATTTTGTGATGAAAAGTGGAACATCAGTCTGTGACTTAAGCTCCAGAGGAAAAGAGTTCCAGAGATGTGATGCGTTCACTGACCCGTAGATGTCCGACATCTTTCAATCCTGCAGTTCCCACTAGCTCCAGCTCTTGTCCTGATTCCTTCATTTGCATACTTTAAAACAAATTTACAGATTGCTTCAGGGGCAAGACCGTTAAGGCATTTAAAAATTGCTTTTAAAAATGAGAAATTTATGAAATTTTCAAATGTAATCATGTTGTATTTTTTAATAATTTTGCAGTGATGCCACTTCACCGGTTTCTGATCGAATATTTTTAGTGCTCGTTTGTGAAGTGAGAGTAAAGGTTTTAAAACAGACTTAGTGGCCTGAGCCCAAACGATGGAACAATAAGACATATGGGATAAAATTATTGCATGTAAATATATTTGTGCAGCTTGATTTTGATATACAGGGTCAAATAATGTAATGTAATGTAAATGTAAAATGTAATGTAAATGTAAATGTAAATGTAAAATGATAAAATCTTACGTTCTTATGTAGATCTATATATGTACTATGTACTTGAATCTGAATTTAAAGAAATCCTGGTAGGTTATAAGGTTGTAAGGTAAAAAATGGGGTAGGCAAATAATAAGCTTTGCTTCGGCCTGTTCCTTTTTTGGTAAACTGTGGGTTTGTCTATTGTTTTTTTTCTTTTTTTCCTTTTGTTGTTTCTTGTGTTTAATGTGGACAATTTACCAAAATAAAGTGATTGATTGATTGATTGATTGATTGATTGATAATTCGAGAACAGTTTATATTTGCCTTTATAGTTTATAGTTCTCTTCCTGTCTCCAGGCCCAACACCTACCACTCCAACCTGCAGGTGAGCTGGGACCTGAACTCGGGCGTGTGCTGCACCGTGGGCGTGGGGGACCTCACCGAGGTCAAAGGTCAGACCAGGTGAGCCCCCCCCCCCCCCCCCCCCCCCCCCCCCTCCTGTGGGTTATTATTACTAAAGCCTCTCTCCCTCTCTCCAGCGGCAGCGTGTGGAGCTCCTACAGGAAGTCGTGCGTGAACACGGTGATGAAGTGGCTCGTCCCCGAGAGCAGCTCCCGCTACATCAACCGCATGACCAACGAGGCCCTGCACAAAGGTCAGAGGTCACGCCCCAAATCCCACACGGGGGGGGGGGGGGGGGGCACAGGCTCCAGGGGGTCCCGGGTCTGTGGCCGTGGGGCCTTACTGAGCCTGGAGGCGCCGCTGGAACCCTTTCCCCCTTTTTTTTGGTGTTTTTTTTCTTCTTTTTTTTATTTCTTTAAATTCATTTCGTCATTATTATTTTTACTATTTATTTTACTTTCTTGGTATTTTCTGTCCGTGTGAATGTGCGAGAAAGGGTCTTTATGTGTGTGTGAGAGAGTGTATGAGTGTGTGTTTGTGTGTGTGAGTCTGTGTCAGTTGTGTGGGATTATTTTATCCTTAAGGACGAAAAGCTGGATGTAAAACAGAGTTAATAGACTACATCAACCGCATGACCAACGAGGCCCTGCACAAAGGTCAGAGGTCACGCCCCAAATCCCACACCCCAAAACACACACCCACCGGGGGGGCGGGGGGGGCTACCTACTGGGGGTCCCCGGTCTGTGGCAGAGGGGCATTACTGAGCCTGGAGGTGCCCGCCATGCTGGACCCCTTTCCCCCTTTTTTTTTTTGTTTGTTAGTTTTTTTGTTTTTAATTTTTTTAAAATAATTAAATTTTTTTAAATTCATTTCGTCATTATTATTTTTACTATTTATTTTACTTTTTTGGTATTTATTTATTTATTTTCTGTCCGTGTGAATGTGCGAGAAAGTGTGTTTATGTGTGTGTGAGAATGTATGAGTCTCTGTCAGTTTTTTGGGATTATTTTATCCTTAAGGATAAAAGACGAACAGGTGGATGTGAAACAGAGTTAATAGACTATTTTCTATTCAGGTTGTTTGTGTGCAGTTTACAGAATACAGTATACAATATTATTTGCACTTTTTACTGTTCACTGACTAACCATTTCTGTTATTTATAATTTAGTCTATTTTGTGTTTATCCGTGAATAAACAGGTCAGTGTCTCTTTACCAACCAGTGTGTGTTATTCAAACTCCCATAATTCAGCTGCTAGTTGTTATCAGAGTAAATCCCTGTTCAACATGAGTCTGACAACTAAGTAAGTAGATAAATAACTTTAAACTTTAGTACAGGCTCTGATAGGCCGGGATCGGTGCAAAAAGCTGGATGGGGACATCTTTAATTCTCTGCCCACTGAGTTATATTCATTCATTGACCTGCCACTGTTCAAAGCTTAACTTAAAACGTATTTGTTCAGGATGGCTTTTTGCACGTAAAATCTCTGCATACTGGGTTCTGTCACCAATGTGTGTGTCTTTGTATATTTCGATAGTTTGATTTGTTTTTATTCTGTAAAGCACTTTGGTTAGCTCCGGTTGTGGTAAAGTGCTATATAAATAAACATTGATTGATTGATTGATTGATTGATTAATTCAAAGAGGAACTGAGCTCCTTTCTGTTGTCCAACAGGTTCGTCTCTCCAGGTTCTGGCCGACACCGACCGCTGCACCTGGATCGTGTTGTGAGGGAGACCCCCCCCCCCCAAACCTCCCTCATCTCCCCCCCCCTCTGGGAGGAGTTCAGACGGTGACTGACGGGCGTCAGAACCAGAGGAAAGCGATTAAACGCCGTCAGGACGTTTTATCGTGGTCGTTGTGATTTTGTACTGTAATATTCCCGCCACCAAAACTAAGAGCTTGACTGAACAAAGACTTCATTTTTACTTTTTCTTTCTTTGTTTTTTTTGTTTTTTAAACTTGGATTGGGTGCGAGCGTCTGAGCGTGTGGAACATCTCCACTGTGTCCCGTTCGTGTGGATGAACGTTTGCATGTCCGATGTGTGTAGTCTTTTTTTATAGTTTTGCACAGTTTCCTGGTCCGGCTGTGTGGACTCAGAGGGCGGGAGCTCCTTACGGCTCCATTTTTAGTTGATTTTTTGTTTGTTTTTTCCGATAGAAATATTCATGTTTATTAAAATGGAACTAAGTCCGTGTCCGACTGGGAGTATTTTGTTAAAATAAAATGTTCAAACCCCTTTTTTGAGTCTGATTCTCTCCAGAAAAAGGACCTCAGATTCCTGGAGGTCAGCTGTCTTTTGCCTACGAATCCAGACCCAAGAAACACAAAAATTATTAAAGATACCATTGAAAACTTTTTTTTTCTTTTAGAAAAATTTCTCTGAAGTCTGTTTGGATCTTTAACAAAAATTGAGAAATTAAAAAAAGTATTTTGAACATGTTTTTCAATCAATATTCTACATTTTCACTTGCAAAAGAAAGGAAACGTGACAAAGTTATAGTTAAGTTTTGATTATTATTTTGCGCATTTACTGGTAACCCTTAAAAGACCAGTAAGTTTATACACTTTCAGTGAAAAAAGACATTTGAGCTCCTCAGTCTTTAGGTCCTGATTTTCCAGCTTTTTTACCGGCTCAAAACGAAAGAGTGAAAGTTTGCTGCGTGCTTTGAATGAGGAAGATGGCGCCATCTGGTGGACAAATAAACATTAAATTGTGAGATCATTTATAACCTGGGTCTAGTTATCCCCTTTAAATTTAAACTCCAGTTGGTTTAATAGATTTCCGCTTTTCCCTCTGAGCCCACGAAAAGATAAATGAAGTATCTTCAACTTTTCCTTTTGCTCACACTTTAATAAAAAGAATATAAGATGTATGTTTACCTTTATATGCCAAAAAAAAATCTTAAAATCCTGTGAATTACTGTTCGCAGGATTATCTTTTGATCTGTTGGTATTATTCATCCTCATAAGGATCAGATCAGAGCATGGTAGGAGAGGAATATTTGGAGCACTAGTAAGATCCTTTCGGATGAGATGCTGCATTTGGGGAAAGCGGGAACATTTAGAAAAACTGACACCAGTTCTGAGATCACGTCTCTTTAGTGGACATCGAGAGTAAAGCTTCAAACGATCACAGGTTTGAGAACAAAGGTCTTCAGCATGACATCAACAGGACGAGATGTTCCTATGAGATCTGACTTTTTTTGTTGTTTAGTTTGAATGGACACAGACCCTAAACTGTGTGTAGGGATCTTAACAATCGGACAGATCCTGAGAGATCCACCTCAGCTTTAAAGTCCAATAAGTAATAAAACTTTTTTCCAGTTTGGTCCGTCGTCTCAGGAAAAATATCCTCTGGATGTTCAACATCCCCTCCAAAGATTATTTAAGGCAATGACGGTTCAGAGACACCCGAACAGCTGCGGCCCCCCATAAATAAACCTTTAGATTACAGGTGGGGCTGGCGGGGGTCGCCATGGAAACAGCACAGCGCAGGTCACGGTGGGGGGCGGTGGCACAGCTTTGAGGAAAACACGCAAAGACACGTTTAGTGTGTTTAAGGAGAAGTTAGATGAAAACAAAACAGGTCGCCGTGTTTTTTTTTTTTTTGGTCTGGGCTACTTTTAGTTGATGACCAGAGCAGGATTACATCATGGGACCTTGATTTATTTCACTGATACAGAATATATATTTTCTTATAGAGCATGATCTTTTTTTTTAGGCTAAAAATCTCTCAAAGGCACAAAGTATCATTTATTTGGCCAAAGAAGGACAAACGACATGATAAGTCAAATATGGCATCCACAAACTACGGCCAATCGACATCGCCATGGCGACGCCACTGTCCTACCATCATTCTGACCGGCGTTCCTGCATAGTTGTTGCTTTAAAGGCGAAGCAAGAGGGGATTTCTCAGATAAAAGAGGACGACGGGGGCTCTGAGGGGACGCCGGCAACCATTGAAGGGACGTGGCGACCACTGGATGGTTGCCGGCGACCACTGGGGGGACGCCAGTGTCCACTGGAAGGACGCCGGCGGCCATTGGAGGGACGCCGACGGCCATTGGAGGGACAATAGGGGCTCTGGAAGGACGCCAGTGTCCATTGGATGGACGCCGGCGACCATTGAAAGGACGCCGGCGTCCATTTTCGGGACACCGAAAACCACCGGAGGGACGCTGGCGGCCACTGGAGGGACGCCGGTGACCACTGGATGGTTGCTGGCGGCCATTTTCGGGACACCGGCGGCCATTTTCGGGACGCCGGCGACCATTAGAGGGACGGGAAAGGCACCAGGAACGAGGGAGGAACACCCAGAGAAGGCAGAGGGGCGGAGAGCGGGACACAGTCACTAGGGCGCGTTGCCGGCGGCGTCCTGCAGGGGGCGCAGCTCCAGGCGGGGGCGGGGCTGCTTGGCGGGCGGCTCCAGGGGGTCCAGGTCCAGGTCTGGGTCCGGGTCCGGGTCCGGGTCCGGGTCCACGCGGCTCAGGGAGCTGGACTGCAGCAGCAGCTCCCCCCCCTCCTCCTCACTCTCCTCCTCCTCCTCATCCTCCTCTTCTGGGGGGAGAAGGGGCGGTCAGACCTCGGCTGGCTGCTAACTGCTAACGGGGGGGCGGAGTCTTTACCTTTTTCCAGGTCGGACGAGTTCCTGCTCTTGGTGGCGCTGGCAAACTGAAACAGAAGGAGTAAGAAAATCCCCTTAGTGTCTTATTGCTGTTATTACTGCTGTCATTATCTTTATTACTATCAATATCTGGACCAGTTTTCATCCAGTCTGTGTGTTACTGTGTAGGCTCTCTCTCTACCTATGTCCTTCTCTCTCTTTCTCTTGCCCTCTCTCTCTCTCTCTCTCACCCCCAACCGGTGGAGCCCCACCCCCCCTGTCTCTGGTTCTGCTCCAGGTTTCTGCCTCCTAAAGGAGGTTTTTCCTTCCCTGTGTCTCCTAGTGCTGCTCTTGGTGGGAACTGTTCTCTGAGCTGCTCTGTTATAAATAAATAAAATTGAACTGAATTGAATTGAATAGAGGGCGGCACGGTGCTGTGGTGGTTAGCACCGTCGCCTCACAACCAGAGGGTTCTGGGTTGGAGTCCAGTCCGGCTTCCTCCCACCGTCCAAAAACCTGCATGTTAGCTTGGTTGGACTCCAAACTGCCCTTAGTGTGAGTGTGTGTGGTTGTTGGTCCTTGTGTGTCTCTGTGTGTCCCTGTGATGGACTGGGGACCGTCCAGGGGGACCCAACCTCTCCCCATTGGCTACTGGGATAGGCTCAAACCCCCCATGACCCCATTAGGGAATAAGAGGTAACGATAATGGATGGATGGAACATGGGGGCTGTGCTGGTACCTCTCCCATGACGGCGATGGGCGTCTCCCCTTTGGCTTTGGCCACGCGGTGCTCGATCAGGTAGTACATGTACTCGTCGTACAGCAGGCGGATGAGGTGGAAGGAGCCGAAGCTGGCAGCACTACGCAGGGTCAGGTCCCGGATCACCATGGAGCTGCAGAGGGCCCGGAGAGGATTTAGACATTTACAGCATTAGCATGACAGCTCAACAAACAAACAAGAGAAAAAGACTGGACTCAGATTAGGGACGCCCCGATCCTTCTTTTTTCACTCCAATCGCGGCCTATCAGAACTTGTGCTAAAGCTTAAAGTTATTCATCTACTTACTTAGTTGTCAGACTCATGTTGAACAGGGATTTACTCTGATAACAACTAGCAGCTGAATTAGGGGAGTCTGAATAACACACACTGGTTGGTAAAGAGACTCTGACCTGTTTATTCAGGGATAAACACAAAAAAAAACTAAATTATAAATAACAAACGGAAAGTCAGTGAACGGTAAAAAGTGCAAAAAAGATTGTAAACTGTATTAAAAAGGCGAAACACACAAACAACCTGAATAGAAAATAGTCTATTAACTCTGTTTTACATCCACCTGTTCTTCTTTTTCGTCCTTAAGGATAAAATAATCACACAAAACTGACATTTAGCTTCAAATGAACATGGTCGTCTTAATGATCAGGACACAGACCTGTGGGTCAGGAGATGCTAATGCTAATGCTAATGCTTAA